GTTTGCCGCGCGCCTCCTCAGTGTTCGTCTCACCAGCACTATCTCCACAGTTCCGGCCTCCAGGGATCATTTGCCATGCCCACCCGAACGCCACCTCCGAACCCGTGCAAAGACGAGCCGGTGGCGCGGCGCTCCCGATCGCGCCACTCCGCCCTACAACTTTAGCCCCCTAAACACCAATCCTGCTCCCTCAGCTGCATACAGTACCCCCTAACATATGCCCCACAGAGCCGAAGATCCCCCTTCCCTCCTGCCCCACACCCTCCAAGTGTAACAGCCCTTCAACATCTCACCATGCTGGCATCAGCACCCCTTGCCCTCTCCCCAACCGCCATAGCTGATCCGACCCAAAAATCAGGGTGGCCCAAAAAGGGACAAACCCTCAATACCGCCCTTCCCTCTCAAAGATCACACCACCCACCCTGTGTAACCCTCGCAGGGAGGGGCTCCAGTCCTAAAGGAGATAATTCCTTTCAGCACCTATGACCCACATCACAAACTGAGACTCTATTATGACATGTTTCTTTAGAATCCCAAAATGACTTATACCATAGTGCCGCTAGTGCAATATTCTTTATAACTAAGGCGCGCCCAAAGATTCATGTGTGTTTATTGCTCCTCAATCCGACTGACCAATTTGGCCACTGCCGGGGCCTGGACTCACTAATCGTTACTGGCCGAATATCCCCAGGCCATCAGTGAAGCGCCCAAGGCCCTAATTGAGGCCTCCCATGGGAGACATGTGATATGTGGCTGCTCCGGGGAGTGGCCGCCTTGATGGTGCTTCCTCCATCCCATCATTTTCTGGCCCCAGTTCACCACCATATCTGACAGTCAGCAAAAGGGGTCGAAGTGGTTTTGAGAGGGTATAGGGTTTAAAGGGTTTAAAGGGACAGACATAGCAATTATCAAACAGGGGGGCTGCTTAAATAGGGCTGGGCTAATAGATAAGGTGGTGCTCCAAGAAGGGAAGGGTGACACTAGCAGGTCCATGGGACAACAGAGCCCCGGGCAGAGACAGCACTTACCACAGCCCTAGGAAACAACAAACAGCAATATCTGTGTTACAAGATGTATCAATGGGACGCTGAGCGCGGTTCTCAGCACGTGCTGCTCCCCACGAATAGATTGGAGTCTTGTTCCCATTAAAAAAAAAAAAAAAAAAAAAA